AAATGAAAATAGTTATTAATTATTAACTATTTTCTATTCATCAGTATTTTTAAACAGATTAAAATTTATCAAATTTTTTCAATTAATAATCAAAAATATTATGGATTAGCTTCTTAATATCAAATATAATACTAGGTCGTTACTATTCAAATCATCTCCATGTTCAAAATAATCTTTCTAAAGTGAAGATGATAGGGATACAGCACTTTCATCTGACTTCACTCCTAAACCCAAGCCAAAACCTTTATAAGGTTTAAATCCCATGGCATCTCCATTTGACAATGAAGATAGTGACAAAAGCAGTTAGAAAGGGGAATCAGTTCCAAAAACATTTAGTATTTATATTGATTTGAATATTAGTTCCAAAACTTTCACGTTTTAGTACTCAAAGAGTAATAACCATGAATGAAGGTGATAAAGATGAAGAACCAGAAGTTATTGAAAAAGAAATTAAATAATGTTCTAATATCTAATTACTATAACCAGATGATTAAAATAAAACTATAGAAGAACAATTTAGAAAAATTGAAGAGAAAATAAAAGTAAACCCAAAGTTAAAATAAATTAAATCTAAACCTATGTCAATGAGAAGTTTTAAAAACTTTGAATAATCAAAAGAGGATAAGTTAATGGACCATCCATTTCGTCATTTGATATTCGGTCCAAAAATAGATGAGTTAGTTTTTGAAAAACATTTAATTGTAACTTAAAGAGGTTTAATTTATTCGAGAAAATGTCTTAAAGGGCCTTCAGAATAATTTTTAGAAAAGAAAAAAGTAATTTTAAATAAAATTAACCCAAATAAAGTAAACACAATATTTCTTGATCTTGACGAAACTTTGATTCATGCTTGTAATTCAAGAGAAACACCTTCCGTTAAGTTGAAATAATAAAATGACGATGGATCTGAAATAGAAGTAAATATATAACTTAAATTAGGTGGGAATAAATGTAAGACCATACACAAATTACTTTTTACAAGAATTGGCTTAATTTTATACAATCTATATTTATACAGCTTCATCTTAATAGTATGCTTAAACTATTGTAAATTATCTTGATCCTCTAAAATAATATATAAGTGGAATCTTATCTAGATCTAATTGTATGGAAACAAAAAATGGATTTTTTATTAAAGACTTAAGAATTATAAAGGATTTAGATTTAAATAGAACTCTAATAATAGACAACCTGGTTCATTCTTTCGGTTTACAGGTTGAAAATGGAATTCCAATTTTAGAGTGGCATGATAATTAGGAAGATTTAGAACTCAAATATTTATTAGAATATTTGATAGAGGCTTCTGAAAAATAAAATTTGAAGGACTTCAATATAGCTCATTTGTAATTAGATAATTTATTAGATTATGTTATCAAGTAATGAAATTTATATCTTCATTTATAATCCTTCAAACTCGACATAAATATATGAATCAAAAATTCATCTAAATTTATATAAATGTGATAATTATTTAGATTCTCCTTATGTTCTTAATTAAATTTCCTCAATTTTGAAATCTTTAATAGTGCTGTCCTATGATAAATTACAAACATACTTGAGTAATAAAATCATAAGGGATGACTTCATCTTTAGTGTTAAAAATGTACATCATTCCTTGATCTTTTTTTGCTGCAAATATTAAATGACCTTAATCAAAGAGACTTTAAGTTTATAAATTGGTAGGTTGATTAATTGAGAGAATGAAATATCTCTTATTAGGAGTTACTACGGTCATTCGGAATAAAGGAATAAGCAAATTCTTCATATTTAATTTAAATATTGAATTGGTTTTATTTAATGTCTAGAAATTTTATGTGAAAAACTTAAATAAGTTTAATATATTAGGATGTATTTTTAAATCATAATAATTATTGGAAAAGAGAAAGTTTAAAAAAATTTGGAAATAAAATGAATGAAAGAATGATTTCAAAAAATTTTTTAATCTTTTATATTTTATTTAAATAAAAAATGGGTAGAAGACCAGCAAGATGCTATAGAGTTAGTAATGGTAAACCATTCCCCAAGTCCAGATATAACAGAGGTGTTCCAGATGCTAAAATTAAGATCTATGATGTAGGAAAAAAGAAGGCTAATGTTGAGGAATTCCCAGTATTTAATAATTAATATGAATTAGGCTGTCATTCACATTGTTTCAGATGAAAAGGAATAAATTTCATCAGAAGCCTTAGAAGCATGCAGAGTTGCCATCAATAAATACATGATTAAGAAAGTTGGAAAAGATGCATTCCATCTTAGATGCAGAGTTCATCCATGGCACGTACTCAGAATCAATAAAATGCTTTCATGTGCTGGTGCAGATAGACTTTAAACCGGTATGAGAGGAGCCTTTGGTAAACCAAATGGTTTATGTGCCAGAGTTAAAATTGGTAGCATTCTTTACTCTTTGAGATGCAAAGATGCTTCAATCAATCATGCTATGGAAGCATTGAGAAGAGGAAAGAATAAGTTCCCAGGAAGATAAAAGATTGTTGTCTCAGCCAAATGGGGTTTCACTAACTATTTCAGATCTGACTATCTCAAATATAAAGCTAATGTATTTAAATAATATAATATTTTAGGATGAATTATAATACTATGGTGTTCACGTTTAAAAATTGAGATAACATGGTCCATTGGAAAAATTGAAGATTTTCTAAGCCCTAAGAAAATGATTTGTTTAGAATAATCAAAAAATAAATATATTAAATTATTTTATTTGTATAATGTCCTGTTTGCAATTTCAAAATCCAAATATTGCAAAAAGTAATAATGGTATCATTATTAATTAAGAAAACTCAGGATCGTCCTCTATGATTAATTTTCGGGATTTAAATGTAATCTAAGTACCACTTAAATTACCCACTGCCAATTTAGGAGTAGTATCTTCATCAAGAACTCTTCTTCTTCTACTAGTAGCTCCATTAGGATTTATAATTTTAGCTGTAACAGCAAAACCATTACCTTTTTCTCCTGCTACTCCCAGTCTAACAGTGTATATTATTTAACCTTCACCTACAACAGTATCCAAAATAGGTAAATTGACTAGAGTTCCTTTTCCCTATAATTTTACATAACCTTTTTCTAATTTCCAATTCTTAAGATTTGAATCTAAAATTGTCAACCTAACCTTAAATCTTTGATTAAGGACTAAAGTTATTTTGTCTGTTGTCCATTAGCAATCATTTGCATTTTCACAATAATCAAGTTTAGATTCAATAGGAATAGCTAATGCAGGTGGATTGAGAGTTTTAGGTGGTACTTACAAACTTGTTATACTTGATTAAGAATAATCAATTGTAGCAGTCCAGTTTCTTTCATACATAATTTGTTCATTAAAATGTACATTAAAGTGGAAAGAGCATGTATAGATATTAGTATTTTCACCTTATTTACAGTTAGCAGTTGTCATATTAAATTAATCTAAGATTAATCTGGCTGTGGATGCTGATTCATGGAAGAATTTTAATTCTGTAAATTTGCCATCATTTATATCTAATGTTACCCATTAAGCTGGCCAACATCCTTGAAAATCATAACCAGGTATTTTAATTGTAGCTGAATAAGTAGTTGCTGTAGCACTTTCTACCAAGGAATCTTTATCATCAGGTATTGATTGCTCTAAACTATTTCCACAATCCACTTTATAACATGTTCCTTCAAGCCATCTGTAAGGATCTGAACAACTTGTGCAATCAAAAAAAGATGTGCATTTATCACATTTGGCTGTACAATTCTTATTGTAATATACAAGTATTTTAGTAATATAATATGCTCCTTCTGGATTTTCAGTCACAAAATCTTAAAATACCAAAGACATTAAAGATTAATTCTTAGTTTTTAAAGTTGAAGATGGAATTGTATATTTAATCTATAAATATTATATTTAAAATTACTGTTTTCCAATCATTAAGTAGGTCTTATATCAATACAGATTCATCATTAGGACATAAGTAGGCAGGATCAGTTTTTTAAGATGTTTAATTAAAAAAGTCGCTGTAATACGAGTATCCTGAAGCGAACCAACAATATCCACTTTTCTTATCATCAGTATTATCTGTATAACCAACAAATAATCCTGAACGAACACCTCTATTAGTTGTTGATTTTGTTAAATATTTAAATTCTATTGTTACATCCTATTCCATCTCAATCTCAAAAGGCATAGTTTGGAGACCACCTCCTATAGACTACTTGGCAATATTAACACAATAGTCATTTGTTGTTCCAGGACAGGGAACTGTTTTTGCAACATCATATTTTTCCCATAAGGTTGTGCTAATTTCCCCACCATTAAAATCATCTTAAAAGATAATGTGTTGAGCATATGACAACGATGTCAAGATTAATATTAGCATTTATATAAATAATAATTATGAAATCTAATAATTTTCTTATTCTGATTTAAACAACAAGATTTAAGACATCATTTATTCTATTTGAAAGTATTGATTTCAGCTTTAAATACTAACATCCATTGGCTTTTTTATTAGAAAATGAAATTATTGAATTCAATGTATCCCTTAAAAAATCATTCATTATCTATTGTTAAAAGTACTAAATCAAAAATAATTAAAAATCAAACTCAATATACACTTTAATTCTATTTAATCCATTAATTAATCTTTCAATAGATATGCATTTAATCAATTATATAAGAAATCAATTAGTAATACATCGAATACAAAGTCTTTCATCTTTAAATTAAATTTCTCCATATGAAGATCTATATATTCAAATATCATTAACAAAAATATGTATTATATAAATCAATAATCACAATTATCTCATGTTTAACAATCAAATACCCATAAAGAGTTCATTATTAATTGTATTATTGGTTGCAATATAGTATCAATTCTAAACTTGATTCTCACATGTAGTTAAAGGGGATATTGATTATTAAAATACTTAAAATATAATCATTTTTGAATTAGAAGCAAAATTATGTATAGAACAAGTTGTTCAATTTTTATTAATAAAGTAAGTTTATATTAATTTAAATGAGTCTCAGTTCTTATGAAATCGAGCTACCCGTGAATAAGGAATCACCTTATTAATAACTATATAGAGGGAGACATGATAATGACTTAATTTATATGTTACACATATTTCCAAAGCAAACATTAACTTCATAAATGTAGCAATAGATTTTTGAAAGGGCAGAAGAATTCAATTTTATATTTGAAAAACTGGATTTCGAGGATTTTATTTTAATATCCTATAAGGATAGTACTTTATGGACAAACTTAGAATAAAAAGTTAAAACAGAATCTCTAAAATCCTTCTATCTAAAATTATATTCATAATACTCGAAACTTAAAGGAATAATAGATTTTGATTAAGATTTTGTTTTTGTAAAAGAAGATGAAGTTTTTATTATTGATTATGGAATTAATCAACATGTAATGAAAAAGCATAAAGATCTAGAATATACTACAAAAACTAAATCTTATCTTTTTGGTTAACTAATTTTTAACCTCTTATGTAATCGAGATATTAGTGATAGATTATTATAGTGCACAGAACAATATTAAATAGATGCTATTATTCATTAAGCTGCTGAAAATTAAAAAATCAATAATGAAATTTTAGAATGCTTATTAAAACTGCTTAAATTAGATCCTAATTAAAGGCCCACTTTTGAAGAAGTTGGATAATGGAAATTGTTCTTTTCAAAAAAAGATATTTCAAAAGTTGCATCAAGTGTACTTGATTTCTCAAATATGAAAATTGGCACATAATCAAGTCGTTAAAATTAAACTTAAAGATCAGCAAGACCATAATCTTATGATTAGAAAGTTTTGAATACTGCACATAATCAATCAGTCAAAGCTGCAATCTAAAAATAAAGAAGATAAGTTCCATCAACAAATAAAGTATGCTCTTCTTATGTATTTGCATCTTAAATAATTACTAACAATATGAAAAATAAAAAGATTTAATAAAACTTTACTAACCTTGTATCAACTCAATAATCATTTTTTTAATAAACTGGTTAACATTTATACACTTCTGAAATGAATTAGAGTTCATATCCAAAAACTTAAAACCATTTTTTTGCTAAATAGCCTGATTAATACTAATAAACATCTCAAAAAAGTTTTAAGGAATCTAATAATAGTAATAATTAATAATTTTAATAACCATAATAATAACAAAGAATAGAAAAGAAGTCTCCATTTTTATTTGATGGATCGTAACCCCCAATATTGAGTATTACTAAGCCCTAAAATCCATAATCTATTGGTGGCTAAAATCGTAATTTAAATTAAGAGGCTAACTTTTTTACTAACAATAATTCAATTCCCTCAAATTATACATCTCCTAAATAAAATATCTATTAAAACTAAAATACATAATAACAATAATAATAATAACAATAATAATAATAATAATAATAATAATAATAATAATAATAATAATAATAATAATCTATTTCCAGTAATCCTCCAAAATAAATTCAATTTTTATAATAATAATAACAATAAGTTGTAGAAGATAATTAAAGTTTTCATTTCAAATCACTTCCATCAGAGGCATCTAGTTAAAATTAAAAATCATAAAAAGATGAAAAATAATAACCAAAGTTGAAAACGCCCTTTTAATTAGCATAAAATACTAATGAAGATGAAGTTGATGACATTAAATTACAACAAATTAATAGTGCAAATTAGAATTATAATAAAGATTAAATTTAAAATAATGAGAAGGATAAAAAGTAAGAATTTTTTAAAAAACCATAACAGGACAATAAATTAACTTCAAATTCAACATTTTCAAAAAAAGAAGAAGATTAAGTCATTGATACTTATCCAATAAACAATTTATAGAATTAAAAAGCCTAATCTATTAATGATATTGAAGAACCACCTATTATAAGACCAAATAAATCACTCCAATAAGAAGTCCCAAAATAATAGAAACCTACTATTTAGACTACTCAAAATCCAAAAGTTAATTAAGTAGATCTAAATTAAATTTTTAATGAATATGTGTAGAAGTAAAATGTTATGATTAATAAGATATTATTCGTATTTAGCGATTATTTAATATATAACAATTGCAGTAGCAGATTTAAATGAAAAACTTAGCATCCATGGATAAATTTGGATTGTACCATTATGCATTGTTTTTAAAGTAATTTGTTTGTGGACTAAATTTTAGAGAGCATATGAAATTAGAAAAATAATTGAAAAAGATATAGAGAAATAAAAAAATATTTTTGAACTAAAAGATTTTGTTAAATTTAAATCTTCACCTTAGTATGCACAGTTATTATAAAATGTTACAAAGTAGAATAATGTGATGGAAAAAGAGTTTACAGAGATGTTAGAGGCTGCATAAAAGAATCTAACTAAATTGGATTCAAATTCTTAGTAAAAAATGGCTGCCCTTCTTAACTTAGATATCAAAAAATCTATCAAAGAATAGGCTGAAAAATATCTATATACTTAAATTTACCCAAGAGTAAAGTCAGCTATAGGAAAATTAAGAGCAAAAACATTAACAAATAATAAATTTTCAGAATTAGATTGGATGCAAACAAGATTATTGAGTTTGTATTCAATTTTAATAATGGAATTAGATTTATACTAATGTGAATCCACTCTTTTTAATGAAGCAACTCTTATGAAATATAGAAAAATGTAAAATATTGATGAAATTGAATAATTTTGCAATTAAATAGAAAATACGATCAAGGAACTTCCAATATTCATAAAATGATTATAATATTGTTGTCAAATCATTTATTATGTAACTTACGATTAATCCCTTATTCTTTGAATCTTACTTGTTTTTTCATAGGAGAGTTAGTCTCAATATCAGAATCTTTTCTCTTTAAAATTGAAGTAGGAGTATAAGTTCTCAATTTCGTTGGACTATAGCTCTCAATTCCTATTATATAGTTGTGATCATCACGTATATCACTTATTTTTCTTCTCATTAATTTTGGTTTTTCTTTTTATATAGGTGCGTCAGAATATTTTCTTCTTGTTTTTGAATCTTATTATAGAGTAACTTGTTTAGAATATTCTATGCTCTTCTTTTTTTTGATTTCAACCTTTGCACTAGAATAAAAAGGAGAATGCGATCGACATTTTATTTATTAGGATACTTATGGACTTGGTGATTAGAAGTTAGGAGTTTAAACTTGATTCTATTTATTTTTACGTTTAAGAGAAGATTTCAATGTCATAAGAGGTTTTGATTTTTGCTTCTATTAGTTGATAGAGTTATTTTCTTGTTCATTCTCTTTTTCTATATTAAATTATGACAAAAATAGACTTTCTTCAGATGGAACTCTAACTAATGATTTTATTTCATTTTAATTTGGAATGAAAGGCTTGGTAGGAGACTGAAGCATAGCATTTGGTATTTCCATTTGAGTTAATTAGCTTGTGTTTATTATACTATCTAATTTAGGTTTGGACATTCCGTTCATATTTTTTTTGGAATTTAGTTAATCAAATTGAGTTTTATCGCTCATTTATTATTTATAAGAGCAATTATTTCCCATTTATGATTTTTTAATATTAATAATTTATTGATTTTTGTAAATTTTGTCGCATAATTGCTCTAACTTAAATAGAATGTATAAACCTGAGTTTTTTAGATTTCAATGATATATCAAAATTCTGTTTTTCATAAACTTTTTTCTAACAAATTCTTTCTTATTTTGCATTTAAATGTTATCAAGATAATAATAATTGCAAAATAATATAAATTAAAGTGATAAAAAGAGTCTAAAATTTAAGATTTAAAAAAAAATAGATATTTTAAGAAATATTATAAATAAACCTATCAAAAAGAAATTAAAAATATCTTATTTTTTGTTTGATAATTTAATAGATTGTTTTAGATTTCTATAATAGCTTTCTTAATTCTAATGTATTTTATGAGAATTATATTATATAATAAATCTATTAAATATTTTTCTGGTCATCCTTTGCCCTGTAAAACAAATACATAGATTTCAATGGAAAAACCTAGCTTTTATGTAATAATCTCTTGATCTAATATTTATTTGATTTAAATATTAATTAGAAATTGAATAAATTTGATTAAGAAATCATTTTATTAGTTGAATAACAAAATTAGAATAATTATAAAAAGTTTGTTGTTTTTTATAATATTTAATTCTGAAATCTTGAATTCATAATTTATTTATTTTTGCAATACTCATATTTATTAAAACTTTAATGATCTACTTTTTTATTAAGATCTTGTTTCCTAAAAATTTTGCCAGTATAATTAAAATTTTTTTTGTTTTAGAATTAAACTCCTCTGAAATATATGTCAATATTTAGTCCAATCAACAAATTTTAAGTTTTTGATTAGCATTTTAAATATTAGATAGCAGTAGAAAGATTAAAATAATATGAAACATATACCAATACTCCAATACAATATTTAAATAAATTCTGCACAATCAATAATTATAATTTAATTAATAAAATGCCAAAAATTGAAAATACTACAGGAATGCCAATTAATTTGATAATAGATGAATTAAAAAGTGATGATATCAGAAAAAGAATTCATTCAGTCAAAAATTTAGATTTGATTGCAAGTACTATAGGTCCTGAGAGAACTAAAAATGAATTAATTCCTTTCATTTAAGGTATACTCAAATATCATTTAGAATTGTTGGATGATGATGATGAAGTCTTGATTGAATTAGTTGAATCTCTATCTAAGAATTTTATTGAGCTTGTTGGTGGATAAGCATAAGTTTTACTACCTACCTTCGAAGCATTATGTAGAGTGGAAGATGCTTCAGTAAGGGAAAAAGTAATAAATGCTTAATATCGAGGCTGCTAATCAATTAAAGAAATGTTTTACTTTATTGCCTGATTAAAAAAAGACTGAAGAATTATCAATGGGGATTATAAAAAGATTGAATGATAGTGATTATTATTTGGCCAAGAATGCAGTTGTAATATTGGTGCCAGCAATTATTAATTAAGTATCATAGAACAATTAGAATGATTTGATTAACATTATACTTAAAATTTCTTAAGATCAAATTCCATAAGTTAGAAAATTTTCATCAATGTATTTTTAAGTATTTTGTAACATAATTATAGGATTTAGTAAAACATTTTCCAATAGTAAATGAAGCTTTGATTTAAAATACATTAAATTCATTCATAAAGGATGAATAAGATTTTATTAGAATGTATATAGTTGATGCATTGATTGCCTCAAGTAAAACTGCATTTTTTTAAAAACAATAAACTTTTGTTCTTAATATGTTTAAATAATTGGCAGAAGATCAATCTTGGAGAGTGAGATATTACTTCTGTGATAAATTAGCTGATGTATTCAACAATATTAATTTAATTAGATTGGAGATTCAGTGGGGAAAGATAGTTATCGAAAAAACTTTTAAAATTATCATCTAAAGTTTTTGTAAGATAATGAGCCTGAGATGAAGTCTATAGCAGCATTAAAAATAGAAAAAGTTAGTTCTTTTATGGACTCAGAAGAAATTATGAATAAATTGATTCCACTCTTGAAATCAATTCAATAGGATTAAAACCCATTTGTTCGAAGTATATTTTAGTTTATAAAATACATTTAGATTCTTTAGCTTCTTCTGTATTATCATTATCACCAATTATTGGTAAGAAAAATTCAAGTGAATAAATTTTACCAATTTTCTTAACTCTATTAAAAGATTAAGATTCTGAAGTTAGAATTACATTATTCAAAAAATTAAGTCTTATCACAAGTGTATTAGGAGTTGATTCTTTATCTTAAAGTGTTATACCAGCCTTGACAGAATTAGCTTAAGATAAAAATTGGAGAATTCGAGCATCTACAATAGAAGTACTTAGCTTCTTTGCCAGAGCAATAGGTCCAGAATTTTTATCAGATAAAGTTCTTAAGTTACTTATAGATTGGCTTGGTGATAAAGTTTATGCTGTCAGACAAACAGCAATTTAATAAACTGGTTTATTGATATAAATTCTTGGTATTCCATGGGCTGATAGAAATTTGTTAACTAAAATTTGGGGTTTTTAATCTATACAAAATTATCTTCAAAGACTAACAGTACTATTTACAATAACTGTATAATCAATATTATATTATAATTTAGCAAATAGCATCTTCATTAAATAATGAATACATATTGAAAACAATTCTTCCTCTTTTATAATAAATGTCAAAAGACTCAGTTGCTAATATCAGAAGCAATGTTTGCAAGACATCTATTTTATTAGCAAAAGAGAAAGGGGGAAATGTAGTTGAGCCATTGAAAAAAGTTTTATAATCTCTTTGTGATGATTAAGATGCAGAGGTTAAATATTAGGCAAAAAGTGCATTAGAATCATTATGAATTCAATAATAATGATTAATATATTAAATAAATAATTTCATCTTTGCAGATTTTAAATATTTAGAAAGAATGACAAAATATTGTTATTTTTTATGTATTTAATATTGTATGATTCATTATCAATATTATTTTTGAATACTGCTGCTTCCAACGGTTGATCTTGTTACAGTTCTCTTTTCAACAACTACTTCCTAATTATAATTAATATTATAAATATACTTTCTTTTATTATTTTTGAAGAGCTTCTAATTCTGCTTATGCCATCATCAATTATTCTTAACATTCATTATAATCATGATTAATCTTAATGAATTTCTATTTCCAAACTTCAATTTCAGAACTTAAGAAAGTAACCTTTTCTTAAACAACAGTAGTTCCTTATTCTTCCAAATATTAAATTCTTAAATGTAAATCCTCAATTTCATGATCTTTATTAGCTAACATTTATCTTAATTTTTCAATTTCAGTTTTCAATCTTAAAATTTCTTACTCTAAATCACTAATTTAGAATCTATATTAATTAAGTTTTGAACTATATTCTTTATCATTAAGAGCTAATTAATTTCTTAGATCTTCACATTCAGTAGTTCTTTGATATAATAAACTTTTCAAATTATTTACTTCCATTTCTAATTCTTTAATTCTTGATTAAGCATCTCTACTTTCACTAGCTGCTGATCTTAATTCTAGTGAAGTAATTCTATATTTTTCTAATTCATTATCTTTTTATTATATAATTAATTTAAGAGAACTTAATTCCATTGATAATTTACTATTTGCATCTTATAAATCTTAAATTTAATCTCTTAACATAGCTAATTCTTAATCTTTACTTCTGCATTGATTCTTCCAATTTTAAAGTTCTGTTTCTAATTATCTATATCTTGATTCACTAGAACTTGAACTAGTTTTTATGAGTAAGAGTTCTTAATCTTTTTGTTTTAATTAAGAATTCAAATTTGCATTTTACATCTATAATTCAGATATTTATCTTCTCAAATCACTTACATCTTATTAATTACTTAATCTTAATCTATTCAATTCATTTTCTAATTATGTAATAGATTCAGTATCTTTAACAATCTTTTCCTTTTCAATTACTTTCTCTACTATCTTTGTTTCTAATTATCTAGATTCAAGTTCAGTAATAACAGATTAAAGATACTCACATTCCAGTCTCCATGGAGCTTCTATTTCTTCTCTATTTACTACTACAATTTGCATATGTAATGGTGATGCTTAACAAGGATTGCATGGCTAATATTTTAATAGATAAATTTTACATTTATAGTGGGATAATTTGTAACTTATGCTGTTACAAAATTATTAGGAAATTGAACTCCTTACTGATTAAATGCTTAATTTCTTCCATCAAATACAAATTCTTCTTATTATACTTATTGACCAACATAAGGACCCTATAATAATTAATTCATCCATATTTTACTTATTACACTCCACTTGTATATACGAACTACTAAGAAATAGGTCTTGTTTATTAATATTCATTTCTTAATGTCTCTTATTGATCGATTCTTTATTAATTCAACATTAGATATTAAATTATTAATTTTTATTTACCTTAATTTTATTTTATATTTCTAATATAAATTGTGTAAATCAATGTAATTCAATCAAAGCAATTATACTATTTAGAATCATTATAAAACATGAAATCAGAAGCATTAGAAAAAGAGTTTCAGTTATACTACTTTTAAATTAATCCAAAATTCATTAAAATAAATTATATTAATTTAATAACTAAAGAAATAGAGGTTATCTATAAAAATGAAACATTTTAATATGTGAGTACAAATTCATTACTTATGGTTCTTAAGTTTATTCAATGGATTTTGTAATTTTGCCTTATAAAATTTGCTTCGAATTATATAAGTATTAAATATTATAATCATTGCTTAATTCTAATTTGTTCTAATAATTAAATTTATTTGATTAAGTCCTACTTTTCATTTATGTGTTTTTGTAATTCGTCCTTATAGGATTTTAATAATATTGAGGATCTTTGTATTATATTTTATAATTGGGAAATCGTTTATCTCTCTTTTTCTCTATTAGAAGTAACATTAATAGAATCAAAAGATTTTTTTTGCATTAGATCTTTTATATTGTTTCTCATCCTTGGCTTAATGCTACTTGATGTAGTGGAATTTAAGGAAGGAGTGCGAATGTCAGGTTTGAAAAGTAATTGTGATGATAATTAATTTGGAGTAGGAGCATATCCATTCAAATATTGTTAAGAAAAACTATCTTAGATTTAGAGTTATTATTAAGATTTTTATTGAACTAATTTTGAATATGGACTTGATTTTAACAACTATTGTAAACCTTGCGTTATAGCCTACTTTTTGTGATTTTGTTTAACTGTAATAGGAGTTATTAAATCCACTTAAGAATGATTTATCCTTCTATGTAGTGTAGTTTATATATTATTTCGTATCTCTGGGCTGATTGTAGATTTGCGTTGTTAATCTAAATATGGTTATTCTGCTTTTAGTAAAGAGTTCATTATAATAAAATATATTTAATAAAAACTTAAATCTCTAATTTAGATTATTTTATATTTTTATATAATATATCAATGATTCTAATATATAATGAAAGGCAATTAAAGATTTTATTCATTTTTATTAATAAGAAATCCTTATAGATTATTATTACTTTTGTCTAATTATCATTATAATATTCTTTTAGTTATACTTAATTATCATTAATTAATATTCATGATGTATTAACAATCATAAGTTCAAAAATATTATATATAAATTTTCAATATTTTAATAAAAACATATGCCTCGCTCAAGTAAAGTATCAAATCGATCCTTTTCTCATGGTAAATAAGGATAATTAAATGAACCAATCATTATTACATTATAAAGAGAGATTGATAATTACACTAGAAAAGTAGAAATTGAAAGAAGGTTTCATTTAACAGATACATAATTTTAGAAAACTCTTTAATTTAGAACAATAACATAGATAGTTACATGATGAAGTTAAAAATAAAGTATAATCTGTAAAAAAATTGAAAATGGATTCAATAAAAAAGGTTTTGAATAAAGATCAGGCAGAATCTAAAAGTCTATAATTTTAAATTGATTAAGTAATTAATTAAGCTAAATTTAGTTTGACAAAAAATTGTGTAAATCAGTGGCAAATATTGAAATTATGAAATCTAATATTGATATAATACGAAAAGAACGCAATCAATTATTATAAGCAATGAAGGAAATTGAGTAGTCTCATGAGTAAATTCATAATAGATTAATATCAACATAATCATAGGCATAAAGAAAGGTTCATGATGCTTGTAATAATTAGAATTATATTTAGAAATTACTTAATAATAAATGTTTGATTTGAAAACTAAGAATGAAATTGATAAAAGTGATTTTTAAGAAAAATTTGATAAATTAAAAGCTGAATTAAAAGATAAATAAGAAAAATAAAATGAAAAAGACAAAATATCAAAAACTAATAGACTCAAAGCAACAAATTATTCTACTTTTGATACAGGAACATTATTAAAAAGAAGATTATAAAGAATTATAGCTAATAATAAAGAAAAAGTTAAAATGATTGATACTTATTAAAGAAATATGAGAATTGTAGATGAAGCATTTAATTAAATTAAAGAAGCAACTGGATTAACTGATATAGAAGAAATTAAAAATAATTTTATTAAAAGTGAAGAATAAAACTATTCATTATGGACATATGTAGATGTACTAAACTAAGAAATAGATGCTCTAGAAGATACTAATGAAGAACTTAAAGAAAAATGTGAAATATAAGAAAAAGAAAATATTGAAAGATAAACAATTTTATTAGCAACACCAGATGGTGAAAGAAAGAGAAAATAAATTTAAAAGATTATTGATTAAAAGTAAAATAAATATTAATTATAAAAGATAAAATGAGATTGATGAATTTAGTAATAAATTATCTTAGATTTAACCAATTATAGAGAATATTTTATAAAAAATGATTAAGACTAAATTTAATCTTGATCCAACTAGAGTTTATACATTTTAAGGTGGATTTTAATTAAATGAATCTAATATTGATTAATATTTAGGTGATATTCTTAATTTTATTATTAGCTGAATTAGAAGGTTATATAAATATGTTAGTATTATATAAATCAAATAAAGTTAAAAAAGATGGATTAAATTAAAATAAATTTATAACTGGATTATTATTAGAAGAAATACCAACCAAAGAATTTAAATCAAAATAATAATTAAATTAATCATCTGTATTACCATCTTAAGGAAATGAAGAAGGTTCTGACATTTAAAAATTTTTAAATTATAAAGAATTTCATGAAATGGCTAAATAAGCTTTAAAAGAGGTTGAAGGATAAAGTATTTAATATATAATATTTAATGTAGATTTTACATCAACAAAGAAGAATAAAAAATGATTTTTCTATACATAAATATAACATCTACGTTAATATCATATCACATCATAAGTGGTTTTTGAATGTTATACATTTTATCGATCTCATTTTAGGTTATACTACTTGATGTATATTCAGAATTCTTTTATATAAGAAAATAATTACATTTAAGTCAGAGCGTGAACTATTTTACTTAATTACTGTAGTTTAAGTTACTATTTTTTATTGACTTTGTTATTTCACTAATGATTCATATTCTGCCTCTTTGATCATTAATTTTTCTTAACAAGCATGATAAATGTCATTTAATTCTTTAAACTTTGATTTCCAAATTTTGGCTTCTTCCTCATAGGTTTTGACAGACTAAGTAGTTGTGATCTCTTCACTCAATTAATCAACTTATTAATAGAGTTCATTTAATTCCATTTATAATTTTTATATAGTATCATCTTTTTGAATGCATAATTCATTGATATGTTATTTTTCAATTTAAAGTTGATTGATTTCAATTCTCAGTTTATCAAGTAAACTATCTTTTTAATTCATATTTGATTATAAGCTTAATATAGTTTATTCAAGAGAAGTCAACTTAATTTATAACTCAGATATTATTAATTAAGAAGCCTTATTTTCTGACTCTTTTATAAGTTAAATTATTACATGCATCTAAAGAATATTAATCAAGAGTCTATTTTAATTGTTATTTTAATTTAATTATGATTTCATCTTTTTCATTCAACTTAGTTAATTGATTTTGGAGTTCACATTTTAATGAAAAATTTTCTTATTTATATTTTTCTACTATTTCTTAAACTGATTTCAAATCTAATTATAAATTATCAATAGTTTATTAATATGTTCTAATTTTGAATTACATTTCTGATGTCAAAATAGTGGAATCACTTTTGTTTTGCTCTAAAATTATTTTAAATAAATTATACTGTTCACAAATTCTGCTTATTATATAGCATTTTATAACTGTTATTTCAGTAGAGTGATTTCTGCCTCTCTATCTTCTAATTAAGTTTTTACACTAAAGAGTTCAGTTTATAAGTCTATAATTGCTTAATTATCATTATCATTTGAGGCTCTTAATTCATAATTTTCAGGTTCAACAATTACTTAGGTTTTTGACTCTAGCATATTTTCAAGTCCTTTCATTCTTTTACTCCATATTTCTTCAAACTTTATTAGGTCAACAACCTGAATTGGATTATCGATAATTGTTTATGTAGTATGTATAGGTTCTACATGAGGGACATATACTGGAGGATAGTACTCAACAAAGGTTGGTTTTATAAGTTAAAAACTATTTTGTGATTTATGCGATATAGGAGCTTGAGGAGATGAAGTTACATAATTTCTTAATGATTTTGGACCTTCTATTCTAATTTATTAGGATTGTTGCTGGGACTATTATTGAAGAGGTACAATAATATTTCCTACAGATACTTATGATTCAAGCTAAAATATTTAATTATATTAGTACTTATTGAGGAACTGATCTAGTTGACACTTAATTAACTCTCACTGATCTAATCGATTGAAATTACTACTAAGCAACTATGCCTTATTAAGGAGGGGCACCTTATACTTGTAAAGTTTAAGTCTAATTGTTCTAGTAATAAAACTACTGTACTTATTAAGATGAAAGGTTTAACTACTATTGATTGGAAAAACTTGTTAGTTGTTAACAATTAGATTTCACATCTTATGTTATCTTAGATTATCCGATGATGTATGATGCTTTTTAATTTAAAGGTGAATTATTGAACATAAATAGGAGTAAATAAATTTATTTCTTATTTAAATTTCATATCCAATATTTTTATAAATAAAGATCAGTTTTTTCATAGGAATATTTTATATAGAATTAGTTATATATTTTAATAAAGTAAAATATATAACTAATTTATGTTTAAAGATAAAATATATGAATTTTTTAACATAATTATATAATTCAGAATTATTAAGATTAAATGAAATCTAAATATATTTGGATTATATATGAATGGAAAATATAATCAATCTTTTTGATTATTAATGACTAATAATTATATACTCTAGATAATATAAAACCAATTAAACTTTTTATCTGACTTAAATTATCAAAAAATAAGGATTATATGGATTAGATTAAAATCAAAATATGAAAACACATAATTTATTATTTAACAATCAGATTTTAGCAATAGTGTCATATATATATTTATATACTCTTAAATATTAAAGAATATTGAAATAGAAATGTGATTAATCACAATAATTATCATTAAAAATTAAAATTTTATATCTAATTTCTAAAACAAATGGCTTAGCCAACTCCAAGAATCATAAAAGAGACATAAAATTTAGCAAAGGATAAAGTTTAAGGTATTGAAGTGACTCCTGATCCTGCAAATTTCAAACATTTTTTTGTGATAATTGCAGGACCTCCCAATACTCCATATGAAGGTGGAGTTTTTGATGTTGAATTGCTATTACCTGATGATTATCCTATGGTATTTGATTAATTATATATTTAGTCCCCACCAAAATGTGTATTTAATACAAAGATCTATCATCCAAATATTGATAATTTAGGAAGAATTTGTTTGGATGTGTTAAAAGACAAATGGTCTCCTGCTCTTTAAATAAGATCAATTTTGCTATCTATTTAAGTTTTATTAAGTTCACCTAATCCTGTACTATAATTTTCTATAACTTAAGGATGATCCATTAAATAATGAAGCAGCCAATTTATGGAAAGCAAATGAAGGCTAAGCACTAATGAAAGCAAGAGATTACACATTGAAATATGCAAAAAAACATTGATATGTTTGATTTATTGGAAAATAAATATATATTTCATATTCTTTAATTTAATTGATTTTAATTTAAATATAAATATAATTTATTATATATAATTATAATATTAAAAAAATTATATATATATTCAATAATATAAGTTAATTATTGGAGGTATTTCGATCATTATTAAATTTATTGAATATGAATCATTAAAATTTCCTTCAAACAGCCCTCACTAGATTTAGAATGGCTGCTATAAATGAGAAGGTAAATTCAGATCAAGTAGTTACTATTTTACAAAGTTTAAATTATAA